AAAAAGTAGTAGTAGCAGCAGCAGCAGCAACACAGCAGCAGCAGTAGTACGAGTAGTTCTGACCCTGACCTCTCAGTTTTTCATAGAGATTATTTCCCAATGAAAGTAAAATCCATAGCCCAAAATGACCATTTCAAACATAAGGTTCAGATAACCACACATAGGAACTTTACGGTATGCATTCCTGTACTTTCTAGCAGTATGTTTAATGGGAACTTCACAGCAATTTTGCAGTATTGTGATTCAGCAGAAGAAATCCTGATTTCTAGAAAATGCTGTTCTGTCTCAAGGCCTAAAGAAATATATAGGAAAAATGGATGCGTTTTGTAATTTCTTTGCCCATTCTAAGTTTTCCTCTAAGTCATCCAGGAAATTTAAAAATAGTTCATAGATAAGCACAGAAGTATCTGCTTGTGTGAAGTGTACTCTCTACACATTTACCTCTGATTGTATGCGCTGCTTTCTCATCAGTGATTCATGGACTGTCATTAGTGTTTGCTGAAGAGGCATTATTACTTTTCCTCTTGACTTAAGGATTTTTTGCAGTTTCAAATAGTGAGAGCATTGCAGCAAAAATTCCGATGAGGCTTTGATTATCAATATATAAAGCCATATTTGATTTATGCAATGGAAATGTTTTGCTTCATTCAGCAGAAATTATACTTGCTATGTGGGGCAAAAATTGAAGGCAATTGATGCAACAATATATTTGGAAAAGCAAACTATTTCTCCTTAGTCCAATGAGTGGTACATTTGCAGTAGTTAATACGTTGAATACAAATAGAAGCTTTTATGGCAGAGGTCGTAAAAGCATGAAATGTTCCAAAATTACTTAACAATATCCATAACTGTAACAAACTGGGTTTGAGCTACAATACCATGTGGCGTTAAAATCACAAGCTATGTGCCAGATGTCTACAATTTACCTAGCTACCTTAAGTAATAGAAATGGTGTATTTGTTTAATAGCTAACTGGAAATTTAGGGGGAAAGGCACTTTTTCTTTGTGTTATCCGCCAAATTTGTCTGCAAGTGACATTTCTTGTGCAAGAAAAGCAATGCAAAATGGGGCTGCTGGTCCCTTTATATCCTACCTCACCTTTAGGGTTGCCAGGACTCCTCCTCACTTCAGTGGGGGGATTGGGGGGCATTCTAAGGGTGGACGGGGTGAATTGGAGCCCCCAGCTGGCCAGGGGCAAATTGGAGCCCCCAAAAGTGGGGGAACCTCCACCCGGACCTGGGGGCTGGCAACCCTACTAATCTTTTAGACCCCCAAGTTAGCAAAACAGATTGCTGGAATGAAGGAGCTGTAGCATTTTGAGGGTTCTTGTGTCTACTAATATATGTTTTGACATATACTGTTCTGCTGATATTTCCTGGTGTTTAAACTACCAAACCTAGATTCAGTTCTGCATGCTACACAGTGCACACATTTCCAAAAAGATTAACCCAAGGCATTTCTGCTTGGCTTGTACCTTTCTTTTCTAAAAGAAGCAGATTTAACCATAATAATACCCTTGAGGTGAATTACCTACCCCAGGTTTTGTTTTGTTTTTTGTGGCAGCATTCATAGCAAAGTGGCTGTTCAACTTTGTCCTCTTTGGACACTGTAACCTGTACATTGTAGTAAACAGCATCTCCAAAGCACAGCTGAATACTACTTAAGTTTACTTTCTGTAGACAAAAAAAGCAGCTAGGGTAGAAAATAGGGTTACCTCATGTCACCACACTTAGAATCATAGAATCACAGAGTTGGAAGGGGCCATACAGGCCATCTAGTCCAACCCCCTGCTCAATGCAGGATCAGCCCCAGACAGGCCCGTAGCTACGACATTTTTAATGGGGGCCCCCAGCCTCAATGTACTTACGTCACTTTCTATGTCACTTCCGGAAGTGACATAGACATGTGGGGGTTCTGCCGGGCTTCCCTTGTCACTCCTCTTACTCTTGAGGAGAAAGAACTACGGCAAGGGAAACCCAGGGCGGGCCATTCTCTATGCCTCATGTGGTGCCGCTCCTCTTACTCTCAAGGAGGAAGAGGAGCAGAACCACTACACTAGCTTGCCTCTGCCAGAGCAAGAGGCGTAGAGAATGGACTGCCCCAGCGCCTCCACTTTTCCTGCCTTTGGCCCAATTGAGCAGCGCTCCCTCTGCAGCCCCAACAGAAAGGCAGGTGTGCTGCACACTGGAACTCCCCAGGAAGGGTGAGAGGCTTGGCTGTCCAAGGCCACTCACTCACCTGCTGCTATGAGGCAGGGGATTGTGTCTGGACACCACAGCTTGGTAAAGCCCTGCTTTAGAATGCCAGTGCACTGGACTTCTCTGCTGGAAAGGGAGGGAGAGAGGTGGCACCCCACAGGCTGAGATTGGGGTGCTGCTGATCCCCCGGCAGCCAACCTGGAGGGGTGGCTGCTGCTGCTGCCACTGCCATGAGGAAAGGGAAGACTGGAGCTCCTATTGGTGAGCAGCAGTGAGTTCCTCCTCCAACATGCCCATCCCCGCCTCTGCACAGAGGAGTCGAAGGTTTCTGTGGTGCAGGCTGTTGAGCCCCATCCACTAGCTGGTGTGCCGGGTGTGTAAGCCAGGAGGCCACCTCATTGCCACTGCCTCAGCCCTGTGACTGGCCCCACCCACTGCCACCCGCCGCCATGCTACCCCTCCCTTGGCAGCTGCACTGCTTTGGAAGCTCCTTGGGATGGGGCATGCTCTAGGGGAGAGCCTGCCACCTACCCTCAGTCTGCCTGCCACAAGTGGCAAGGTGATCAGGTAGGATGGGGCCCGGGGGAAGGCAAGGCTTGGGGAGAAGGCCTTTAAAACGCTAGGGGGCTGGGCCCCGTGGGCCCCTTGGTAGCTACGGGCCTGGCCCCAGAGCATCCCTGACAAATGTTTGTCCAGTTGCTGCTGAAAGACTGTCAGTGAGAGGGAGCTCACCACCTCCCTAGGTAGCTGATTCCACTGTTGCACTACTTACTGTAAATAATAATAATAAAATCCTAGTATCCAGCCAGTGCAAACCCATTATTGCAAGTCCTATCCTCTGCTGCCAACAGCTCCCTGCCCTCCTCTAAGTGACAGCCCTTCAAATACTTAAAGAGAGGAGTCACGCCTAGTGTTCCCTCTAAGCTGAGTTAGTGTGAGCTAGCTCATAGTTTTTTAGTCTCCAGCTCACACATTTTTGCCTTAGCTCAGGAAAGACGGCTCCAGAGTGTTAGATCCCAAATCAGGAGAATAGATCCACGTTCAAAAGAAGCAAGATTTATTTCCAAAGCATGGTTGATCATGAACATACAGAGATTGTTAGGAATAACTACAATACACAGGGAAGGTGTATTAAAAGGAAATTCAAACCAGGTTTAAACCAATGAACATATTTCCCTCGTCAGGTTTACAGATTAGAAAAGGCGCGAAGCGGTCTGAGAACAGAGTGGGAGCAAAAAGGGTGTTTGTGTGTGTGTGTGGGGGGGGGGGAAATAATGTCACGAACCTCTAGGAATTCCCCAGATATCTATGATTTTTGTCATAGAGATCCAGAAATTTCTAGAGTGTGATAACATCTCTTCTGGGTTGTAAGCCGCCCTGAGCCCGCATGCGGGGAGGGCGGGGTATAAATAAAATTAAATAAATAAATAAATGTAGTGATGGCACTCCCCCTCCCCCATTACTGTTCTTGTTGAAGAAAAGAGGCTGTCTGGCACACTTGTAGAAAACCACCCAAGAAATCTGTCAGTTTTTCCATTGGGGTAGTCTTTGCATGCCATATTGGAGTAAGGAAGATTTAAAAATACCTAGAGATAAAAAAATGTTTTAAATCATTAATTTTACATGTGTTTAGGTGTTTTCCTTTAAAATTAATGAAAGTTTGTTGTTCCAAACATTGGGTTTTTTCCAGATTATTTAAATATAGCTTTGTAAAGGAACCATGCTGGAGTGTTATTCAGCATACAAAAGGGGAGAGGTGAATGTATCATACAAAATTGTGTATCATGTCAAACTGTGTCTTCAAATGCTGGGTATTTTAAACCAGGTTTATTGGTTTAATTATGCCATGTTTTGCATTTCTTGACAATAATGATGTTTGTGTAGATCTTAGAGTCTACACAACAAATATGAGACAAATTCCAGAGGTGGTTATTAGTCCACCATATCAGAACAAAAGAAGAGTCTTACGGCATCTTTAAGGATTAACAGGTATACGATAAAGAGCTGCACCTTTCTAAGCCCATTGATTTTAGTGGACTTTGAAAGGTGGAACTCCATTTAGGACTGCATTGTTATTGTGTATGGTTTATAAAGTAGAGCCCACTTCATCATGTTCATGAAGTGTGTATTGCATAGGCAACAGTTCACAATATTTTTATTCTGTGCCTGTGTGTCTACAGAAACACACTGAAGATATACTTACTGTTCAGAATTACACCTTTCTCCATCTATTTGTGAACAGTTACACCCTTCTAAACTTACTGACTTCAATACTTAGAAGGATGTAGCTCTTTTTAGGACTGCATAATCAAATGAGAACCAGCTGTTATCACTTTTACCATGTGAAAAATTGTTTATCATTATAGATGATACCATTTTGTAGCAAAGTTGTAAGTTACAAGGTCAATGCAAGCTGTATTGAAAACAGATTTAATAACTTTATCCAGAGTGTGTTTTAGAGACTTGCAGAGTTGACTTCCATCATGTTCTGAATGTAAGACAAATCTCCATGAGTTGGGGCTGTAGTTCTGTGGTATGTCACATTCTTTTTATGCCTAAATTCGGAAATGTACTCTCTTGACATGGCTGTTTGAACAGAATTTGGGAGCTACTGCTAGTCATTCTGAGCTCGATGGACCAGTGGTCTAACCAGATTAACTTAATATGCTTGCATAGGGAGTCATAGCCTGGTTCAAGAAATAATTCATTCTTTCTCATCCAGTTCTTTCTCCTGCCTCACAAAATCTTAGATGTAAGCTTTCAAAAAGATAGTATGTAGTGGACTTTATAAAAGTTCCTGTAATGCGGCTGCTGGCATGTTTGGTCCTCACATCAAACAAAATCCCGGAAAATGAAGGTGAGAGACTAAACTACATTGCAGGGCTCTTATAAGGAGTACAGGCATGAATTCAGCCATACAGGTTATGCCAATTCCCTCTCCTGCGCAGACTCCCCCCTTCCCTTGAGGGCCCACTAATTCCCAGGAGCAATATTGGGGGATGCTCAGTGGAGTGTAGTCAGAGACAGTGCAGATTGTTGAATACATGCCAGTATAATTGTGTGTTTTGAAGTCCCCAAGTGACTGAGTGTATATAAAGTAATCCTGAGAGTGCACATATTGTAAACATAGTACCACAGTCATTGATTTGATGCTAAGTAATCCAGAAGCATACATTAGGATTTACCTCTGTCCCAGTGTTTCCCAACCTATGGGTCAGAACTCAAGTGGGTCATGAAGCCCTGAAAGTGAGTCATGAACCAGCCCTCTCTAATGGCCACCCATGCCCTTTCCATTGTTCTCTTTTGTATTTTGGAAACCAAGATATGACCCTGGAAACAGTATCTTCCATATCACACATTAGTTGGTATTTTTTCTTCACTGCTTATACATGTTCATCAAATAAAATGTGTCCTGATGGTTACTAGAGTGAGTTTCTTAGAATCTTTGGGGTGGGGTTAGAGGGAGTAATGGAGAGGGAGAAGGGTAGTCAAAGGCTGGAATTTAACCTCCATCCACGAAGGCTATGTACATTGGAATGCCACCTGCTTGGGGTTCATAGTGGGGGCAGCTGCACCCTTTGTGCGTTGTTTGTTCGTTTTTCAAAAACAGATGGTTAGCCACTTTAGCAAGTGGAATGCTGAACTAGATGAGTGCCAAGATCGTAGTTTGCCTAGGATGCCAGAAATCTTTGGGCCATCCGTGGATGGGTCACCATACCAAGTAAATTTGGATTTGTGGGTCACCATACAGAAAATATTGGGGACTTAGCATTATAAATTATTCTGTTCTGCATTCATATCTATGTGAATTATGACCAGAGCTGCTCTATCCAGTTGCCTTTTTGGTGTATGGCAGTATTATTGTTAATACTGCTACTCAGTGTGCTATCACTTGGCCCACTGTATGAGTGTCATGGCTTTCCAGAATTCTGGGACCCTACGTGCTAGCTACTATGTCTCTGTGTAACCAATATTTGCTGATCTCAGAGACATATTCAATTGGCAGCTAGCTTCAAGCATCAAAGATGAGGTTAACATTCTACGATCTGGTCATGCTACCAGCATGTGCTGTGGGGATGAAGTAATTACGGTAATGGAAGCTTTTAACATAAATGTTCAATGGCTCCTGCTTCCATCAGGTTTATAACACAAAAGTAAAACCTACATTTACCAGAATATTTAGTAGCATTATAAATTATTCTGTTCGGCATTCATATCTATGTGAATTATGACCAGATGTTAGCATAAATGTTACAAAATAGGGTTTAATACAATATAAGACTGATGCATGAAAATACTTAATAATTTTATTTAGTATGAAAAACACAGATCAAGCCAACAAACTGTACCACAAGAGAATGCTCACCTTCATTCAGATTATCTGTCTGTCTGGTCTAGGAAGCATAGTTTTTCTGACCCCATATTGGGCAATTGGAATAGATGCATTCATATCTATGTGAATTATGACCAGATGTTAGCATAAATGTTACAAAATAGGGTTTAATACAATATAAGACTGATGCATGAAAATACTTAATAATTTTATTTAGTATGAAAAACACAGATCAAGCCAACAAACTGTACCACAAGAGAATGCTCACCTTCATTCAGATTATCTGTCTGTCTGGTCTAGGAAGCATAGTTTTTCTGACCCCATATTGGGCAATTGGAATAGATCCTCCTTTTTCTTTTTGCAGGATGGATAACTCATGGAAAATGAAAGATAAATAAATCCATGTGGAACTGTGATCCATGAAGGTGTAATGTGTGATAGGTTCTACCGTTCTAATATTCTTATTCTAGGAAAAGCCATGGTGCCTTTGATGGAATATATCAATATCTGACTCCTTCAAGTAACCCATTATAGGAAAAATAATCATTTGAAAGTGAGCATGAAACACAATGCTTTTTTGCACTTACCTTTTAAAAAACCCCACCATACTCTCCCTCATCTGTTACTGATTATTTCACTTAGAGAGTGACTATACTGGCTAATTTGATGGCAGGAAAATTAATAACATCATAAGGATGATCCATACAACAACTGCAAAAGCAATATAGCTAACAAAAATTGATTGTGTGATTTATCATCTGAGAACAAAAACTGATGCCCTTAATGGGCAAGTGATCAGATTTCCAGCACAGTAAATACTTTGCAATTATTTTTTTCTCATTGTTAATGTAAAGAGTACTCACGAATATTTTTAACAAAAGCATTCATAAATCAAGTTGAGGCAATGTGTCGTGTGTGTGCCCTCACCCCATGTGTGTGTTTACTTTCTGTAAAACTGGAAGCTGTTGAATTACTACTCTGTAAATCATATCTTGTTACCATATTCTACCTTCTTTTGAATTAAATACCACAAATGCTGCATGGCTGTTCTTTATTTATTGGTGGTTATTTTGTTTTTCTTTCAGAGCTTGAAGCGGAAGAGTGGTGCAAACATCTGTGTATAGAATGTTTAGGAACCAGACTTAATGATATAAGTCTTGGTGAACCTGATCTGCTTGCTGCTGGAGTTCAGAGAGAGCAAAATGGTAAGTGTTTGAATCTTTAAATATTGAATCCGAAGGCTTTAAATATATTACTCATTCATTCATTAATTAAAACATTTATTAGCCTATTTTCTTCCTTGTGGAATCTGAGGCAGCTTACAGTATAATAATTATAAAAACACATTAAACACAATGTAACCGAAACAACAATTATAAAAACACAGGAAAAGTCACAATCTAGACTTAAAAACTCCCAATTCGTACTGCCAGTAAATGAAAACTAAATCAGTCAAATGCAGTCCTAAATAAAAATGTCTTCAACTACCTCCTGAAGATCGGAAGTGAGGGGGCCAGGCTTACCTCCCTGAGGAGGCTGCCCCATAATAATGGGGATGCCACTGAAAAGATCCTCTCTGTGTGACCACCAGACAAGCTTCTTTGATTGATGGGACATTCAGGATGGTTCCTCCTTGTGATATTGATTACTGTATGGATGCATACAATAGATATTCTATACATAAAATATACAGTTAATAGTAATAATAGAAATATTAAAACACTAGACCATGTTCTTCTGCCTTGTTAAACATGCTAGAGTGCAGAATCTTCCTACCTTAAGGATAGTTTCATTGAAACAGTCGACAAGAAGAAGAGAAGTATAAAAATAATTTGATCTACCTGGATATTTCGACTGAACTGGGGTATTAGCTGTTGTAGATTTTCCGGGTTGTATGGCCGTGGTCTTGGCATTGTAGGACCTGGCCACGGCCATACAACCCTGAAAATCTACAACAGCTAATGAACTCCGGTCATGAAAGCCTTTGACAGCATACTGAACTGGGGTTATTTATGTTTTCTGAATGTCCTGGTAAAATCAGCAATGTAAGATGACATGTTTGATTGTTTCTACCATTCCAGATTGACATGGGCAGAGATGATGTGACATGGGCAGAGATGATACATGCATATCTCTCTTCAAGAAGGGCAGATGGGAGGGCATTAAACCAGGCCAGAGTGAAGGCTCTGCAGTGTTTGTGGAATTCTAATGTGTAAAGGTAACTCAATGGAACAAAATTTTGTTACAGTTTCCCACTGCCGGAGCAGAGTGGGCCTGTGATCCGTCGACTTGAAGGGCAGTGTCCCATAGACTCCGTTTGATTAATGCTCTGGCTCCCAAGAACCCAAGATGCAGTAAAGCTGTAAAGGATAAACCAAGTCATTGCAATTTGTCCTCTATTGCTTTCACCCACTGTGAAGTGAAAATTGTCTTAAAGGATTAATGAAGTTAATCCAGGGGAGGAGAGGTTTAACTTGAGCCAGAAGCATGTAGCTGGGAACCAAGCACGCACTTCTAGTGGAACCAACCCTGCTTCTAGCCTAAGCAGGGCACTGGATACACAACAAGGTAATTCAAGTAAGGATCTGAGGAATTTGGACGGGATTGCTTCTAGTTTACTCCAGTCATTGCACAGACATGTCTGTGAACCATACGTACGCTGGGGAACCACCTTGCCCTGAAAGACTTTCAATACATATGGTAAATGAGAGCCCCCTTTTGCTGTAGCCACTCTTTGAGCAGATTCAGTTACATGGGAAAGCCGAGTTGTCCATGAGCCAGATGGTTGGAACAGTACACCTAAATACATGAACACTTTAACTTGTTCGATCTCATGGCCATCAATCTGCCATCTGTGTTTGGTAAACCTTTTAGAGAAAAGAAGAATTTGGGTCTTTGAAAGATTGATAGTTAAATGCTCCTCTTTGCAGTAAGCTGTAAGTGCCTGGAAGGCTCTTCTGAGCCCTACTTGGGTATAAAATAGAATAACCCCATCATTTGCATGTAATAGTGTGGAGATTGGTCTACCTGCCATATTGGGTGGACTAAAGTTGGGATTGGATAAGGTCTGCACCCTGGAGTTTATATAGAAGTTAAATAATAAGGGAGCAAAGATGCAACCAGATGACTTTGTGGGTTACACCTCACTGACAAATAGTTGTTCTCATGTAGTGTGTGTATAAGGCAAGCAGTCTGTGATCTGTTGTGGAAGCTTCTAGTTTTAGCCATAAGATGTTACATGAGATGCTATCCAATGCCATCTTATTATCGATAAAGGCTGCATAAAGTGCCCCATGCTGCCTTCTGGTATATTTCTCCACCAGATGGCAAAGAATCAAGCACTGGTCTATTGTGGAGCGACCACTTCTAAAACCTGCTTCTGCCTCAGCTAAGATGTTCTCCCTATTGCGTCAGTCCCAAAACTTCCAGCATAGGTAGAATATACGTATAGGTATATATTTTCTGTACAGAATATCTATTTTATGTGCCCAGTGTGTATTATGTATTGTTGATATTCTTGACTGCCGATCTTGGATTGCAATAATAATAAACTAAACTGATTCCTGTATGGGAGAAGATGGTCCTTCAGATACCCCAGTTCCAAGCCATGTAGAGCTTTAAAGGACGAAAGCAAAACCTTGAGTTGGGCTCGGGAGCTGATCAGTTGCCAGTATAATTGTTGTAGTAGTGGGGTCATGTGTTCCCAGTAGCTGGCCCAAGCCAGCAGTCTAGAGGCAACATTCTGTATGAGCTGCAGGTTCTTTACATTGTTCAAGGGTGGCCCTGGGTAGAGCACATTGTAGTAGTCCAGTCTAGGTGTAACTAGGGCATGAATCACTGTGGCTAGATCTGACTGAATCAGGAACCAGCACAGTTGACGCACCAGCCAAAGCTGGGTGAAAGAACTCTGAGCCATCACAACCACCTTGTTTTCTAATATGATCACTCAAGCTGCACGCCCAAGCTACAGATGACACCAAATTGGGAGGAGCAGTGAACACACCAGAAGATACCAAATTGAATGAGATCTGGACACACTGGAAAAGTGGGTAGATGTGAACATGATGCAATTTAACAAGGATAAGTGCCAAGTTCTACATCTGGGTAACAAAAATGAGGAACATGTATACTGGATGGGGGATACACTTCTGGGTAGCAGTATGTGTGAACAAGATCTTGGGGTACAGGTGGACCGTACGTTAAATATGAGCGGCCAGTATGATGCAGCGGCAAAAAAGGCTAATGCAGTCTTGGGGTATATCAACAGAGGCATAACATCCAAATCACAAGATGTCATAGTCCCATCATACACTGCATTGGTCAGGCCACACCTGGAGTATCATGTGCAGTTGTGGAGGCCTGACTTCAAAAAAGGATGTGGACAGAGTGGAGCAGGTTCAGAGGAGAATGACGAGGATGATTGGAGGCCTGGAGAGCAAGCTTTATGAGGAAAGGCTGAAGGCTGAGGGACTTGGGAATGTTCAGTCTGAAGAAGAGGAGGTTGAGGGGGAACATAATTGCTCTCTTTAAGTATTTGAAGGTCTGTCACTTAGAGGAGGGCAGGGAGCTGTCCCTTTTGGCAGCAGAGGACTGGACTCACAATAATGGGTTTAAATTAAGAGTGAGAAAGTACCAGCTGGATATTTGGAAAAACGTTTTTACAGTAAGAGTTGTTCAACAGTGGAATCAGCTACCTAGGGAGCTCCCCCTCACTGGCAATTTTTAAGCAGTGTCTGGACAAACACTTGTCAGGGATGCTCTAGGAGCTGATCCTGCATTGAACAGTGGGTTGGATGGCCTCTATGGCCCCTTCCAACTCTGTGATTCTATGATTCTATGTATGTCTTACAAAGGTACTGGTCTGTCAGACTGCCATCATAGCCATAATTATAGGCCTGCCGTATTATGCAGGCAGGTTGCTTGTAATACTATATGAACTTGGACTGATATATTTTAAAGACTTGCAATATTTGTTGGCATTTTTTTTCTGCACAACATCTTGTTATCTGAAATCTTGCGTTTTCTATTTCTGTTAGCATTTAAACCACTAGAACCCTTCCTCTAATGTGCTTCTCGAGTAATTTCTAATTTCTTTGGCTTGTGGCTGATACTCTGTTTTATCAGGAACATTTGTTCATAATCTGTGATGCCTCACTTTAGACACTGACCTCCAATACAGAGCAGACAAATGTCTCTTGACATTTTGAGTATATTGTGTATTCCGAATACCCCTTTCCAATATGGTTCTTCTCTCCCCACTTCTGTTGAACTTTCAGATTTCAAACGAAGCTGTATCTTTTCTTTGAATGTTAAAAATAGATTGTCTCTACTCTGCAAGAAGAATTTCTATAGAGACATCGTTTGTCAATACAACAACCTTTATTGGCATTATGCACTTAGAAGTATACAAAACATAAGGAGTACTCAATACAGTTAACACATATCTCGCTTTTTCTGGAATTTCCGTGGGAACTAAAAGTTTACCTTCTTTTTATGTTCATGTTATTTTGCTAGTGGCATTAAAAGCAGTGACCTAGTCACTACGAGTAGGCCTATCTGAACAAACAGCCTAGTTTCATAGATGTTCTTTCTGTGGCAGACAGTGTCTAGAACTCAGAGAAATGAGAATTGATCCCAATAGATTAACACCTGTTAGTGCAAAATAAGAGCTGATGGCTCTTGCGTTATCTCAACTGGCTCTTGTGGTCATTCAGTTACTGTTAGTATTTCTTTATTTATTTAAGAGCATTTATACTCCTCCTTCCCAAGACCTGCTCAAAGTGGCAAACAGTCACTGAGCAGCCTAAAACATACACAAAAAAACAGTCCTCAGGCTGGAAGCGCACCATAAGACAGCTTTAAAAACAGGTGAAGTCCTAAGTAAAAAGAAATGTATTGTCCTATAACCTAAAAGTAGGGTGCCAACCTCCAGGTAAGGCCCAGAGTCTTCCCAAAATCACAACTGATCTTCAGACTACAGAGATCAGTTCCCCTCAAGGAAATGGCAGCTTCACAGGGTGGACTCTCTGGCTTTACATCCTCCCCTCCTCAAATTCTGTTTTCCGCTGTCTCTGCTACCAAATCTCCAAGGATTTTTCACCCAGGAGAGTTGGCAGTCCTACCTAAAAGACAGGAAGATAGGCGCCAGGTGAGCCTCGAAGGAGAGTGTGATCCAAATGCAAGGGTCCTCCAATGAAAATGTCAT